GCATATGAACCAACAAATTGTGGCAATATCCCAACGCAAACTATTGGAAGCAAAGCATTAAAACAAAATCAACAGTGAAAATACCTTTGCAATTGCCACTTGCTTTGACCTTGTTGATCTAGATTTATTTGATAGAGCCCGAGACAAACGAGGGATTCCATCATTGATATCGTCAGTATTTGTGTCATAAGAAATAGCACTCAACTCGGGGAATGAAAACGGTTCCCTTATTTGCTTATCTGTAACTTCCTCAGACGGGGCTTGCACTGAATTGCTATCTTCTCTGACATCCAACCCACGAGACTGATAAACCAATCCAGAACCATAACTGAAGTTCCCATTGATGTGAGGAAATGCACCAGTCAATGCACGTTCGTCGGTGGACCTTCTCGAGCAAAGTCCGCCCATTGAGTCTATGAAGATTACTCTTTTACTTCATGAGCTAATCAACTAAAAAATCTTTAAATTCAAAAAGCTCATAAATTCTTAGTAAAAAAGACACTCTTAGTCAGCAAATCACAATACTGATAATCGAGCCTGTTCTTTACCCCAGCTTCCACGAAAATTACCAGAGTGCAATCCACAACTAATCCAGCTCAGTAAAACTGAAAAACAAGATTGGGGAGCAAAAATCACAAAAGGGAGCAACACCTTAAGATAAAATATAAGGAACTTAATATTCACTTATGAGCAAAATTATACAGAATAAAAACAAGGAAAAGAATGTCCCAGCAATAATTACAAAGTAAGGAATTAGCAAATAAGTCAAACCAATAGCGTAAATCATTAGCATAAGGGCAACCCAAAACGACAAAGATTTAAACAAATAGTCACGATCCAATAATAACACAAATTGCACAGTGAAAGAACAATCCAGAAAATAAATTAAGCAAAATCAAAGCTTTAATTACACAAATCGAAGTTCAAAAACCCCCCCCCATTAAAGAAAATAAAAGTACTTTTATGGGCTTGTAAACTAAAAAGAAAAGGATAACTTACTCAGGACTAGAGATTAAGATGATGACTTGGATCTAAGAAATAAAAAGAAAATATTTTTTATGTCTCTTTCATTTCAACGATAACACGAGACCGATGAAGAGAGAGAAGGTGAGATTGTCAATCATATGATGATGATGAGAATGGAAAAAGAACCATGAATAAAACCCAAAAAAAAATAGCTAGTAGTTGTACATGTATGTATCTATATATCTATTGGAGTATGTGAGTATATGGGGTGGGCGGATGGACTCTCATTTCTAAATCCACAGAGATCTCTGAAGCTAATCAAGAACAGTTTTTTCAACCTTCAAAGGGACCAGTCACCATAAAAGTAGCCTTGTTGCTGCTGACTCTGCCACACCAAACCAAGAACCAGTGTAGAGAGTAGAGAGAGAGAAACCACCCACTTTCTTTGTCTCTCTCTATCGTACGCATACATCGGCCTGGTCAAAAACCCTCAAGGTATGTGTAAACTCTTTTTACTGTAATTATGGGAACAAAGGAATCAAGAATCTACTCATAAGTTACTTATTTTCACCGCCTTTTAACTTTTTCTCCTTCAATTTTCTTCCTTGAAAGTGACAAGTTTGACCCCTAAACGGCTAAAGGAGCTGGAGAAAACATTGATGAAGACTTGATCTCTGGTGCTCCTGATTTTTGATTGATTTGACTATTAGACCAATGTTTTTTTTTTTTAAGAAATTTTTTTTGCCAATTGATACCACAAAGTCAACTTCCAAAATTGTAATTAAAGATAAAGTTTAGAGTTTTGGGAAACTTAGGGCTTGTTTGGGAAGGATTAAAATTCAATTAAAATTGAAAATATAGTCGTTATTGGGTCTCACTCGTCTATTAAAAGTCAACTCCAACAGCTATATTTTCAATTTTAATCTGATTTTAATCCTTTTCAAACAAGCTCTTAATAAAATTTATGAAATCTACAAAATCGTATCATACTCCATTTAAGTTATATACATTATGGTCTAGAGAATCTTATTCCTACACAGTAAAATTGATCGATATATTATCCAGATGTAGCAAGAGAGTGCAGTTTTAATTCATAGAATTTAGTTGTCTTCTTGATATTTTTTGTTACTCTAAATACAACTTGAGGGGTTAGAAAGGGAGAGAGAGAAGAAGGGATGTCCTTTCTTATAATTTTTATTTTATTGTTTTTTGAAACCAATATAATTATATTCAATAGCAAGAGTGTTTCCAAGAAAGTGGCAGTTGAATTTAGAAAAATCAAAAGTGTTTGATGAAAGAAAATCTCATATTTGAAGCGTAACCTCAAGCATAAAATGGCCTGTAAACAATACCCTTTCGGAGCGTAGTTTTTGGACAGTATGAATAGCACTGCAGCAATCAGACTCCATCATGATGAAGGACATGCAACGATTCCAAGCAAACTAGTCGAGTTAAGTCACACATTCGCTAGCACAAGGAGAAATGTTTCTTGTTGTTGATTTTGAGATAAATACTACCATCTCCCTGATCATTTTAACAGATTATGCCAATCCTAGAGCCATCCTTCTCTTCTTTGACAGCATTATCTATAGTACATTATTTTCCGTTGAAATTCCATTTCAATTTCGATTGGTGGCTAGAAATGGACTTGTACCATTAACTTTATTTCTAGGTACTCTTATCACATTTCTTATTGTCACTCGAATAATATTTTTTGGTATTTCGTGAACTTTTCTGTGAAATATTACTATGTTACTATTATTTTAACTACACCATAATTCCACACTCCATGTCATGCATCGTAGGGATGCAACGGTGCGGGACGAGGACACGGTCCCATTTATTTTTTTATTTTTTAATATTTTTGATTGTGAAAATCATTATTTTTTTTTTTTCAAATTATAGAAAATTCATGTTTCCTCTAGAAAATGACGACGATTCTTTTTTTATTGTGTGATAAATATTTTTATTTTGAAATGAACTTTAAATGAGACGAGTAATGAGGTGGTGATCATGTTCTCCTTACTCTCCCATCTTGGAGCAATGCCCCCCACCCCGCTTGGAACGGAATCTTGCAAGAATAGAGTATAACGGATATTTTTAATCATCCCTAGTGCATCGAAAACATCTTCCATGCTCTTAAAATTAGTTCACATGCATTAGAAACTAAAATACAAAATCATAACCAAGTTTGAAAATAGACAAAATCATTGCCGGGTTTGGAAACATAAACCATTATTATTAAAGCCACAAAAAAATAATACGTAAATACAAGAAATCAATTCCACAAAAAAAAAAAAAATGTTATAAAAGTAACCAAAATGTCATTTCAAAAATTAATAATAGAAGAAGAAGAAGTAACCAAAAGGTTGTTCTCTTAGTCCAGCCTCGTAATAAATAAAGTGTTACTTTTGGAGAAATTAAACAAGTGTTATTACCATGAAATGAATGCCATATTTTGTCATATTTAAGTTTCACCTAACTCAATTATGGAGAATTTGTGGTGATTTTTCCAAGATCCCCTTTAAGTTATTTTTTGACCTTTTATTTAATTACCAAAAAATATATTATTTCCCTATCCATGCTATTAAAGTATTAGGGAAAATCTCAATTTTGTAGTTCACACCAAAATTGTTAACTTCTATGTATAAAAAAAAGGCCTTAAAAGTAAGCATGTTTGGTATTGTGAACTTTATTTATACATTTCAAATTCAAACGTTCTTACGCGCCTAAACAAAATTGGTAAAATTACGAAAATTTCCATGAGAAAATGCATTGGCAGGTGAATTATGAGTAAATGGGCCTACATTAATAGTAAATTCTTTTATTAATCATTAATTCATGCTCAAATGTTTGGAAAATGATAAGTAGGGCATACATTGAGAGCAATTGACATATTCATCATTGTCCCATCAAAAAATTATGAATCTAAAACCTTAGGAAGATTATTTTAATTTTTCCAACTTCAACTAAGAGTTTAAATTGGTATAATAGATTCGACCAGACACAACATGCATGTAAACTTTGACTTTCTGTTCAAGCAAAAAATGGGAGAGAGAGAGAGAGAGTATATTTCTCCACCTATTTTTCTTTCCTTTCCACTTCCTCTTCTCTTCCCTTTAAGCCATGGCAACAGGGCAACTTCCCTTAAGCCATGGCAACAGGGAAATTGAAAATGATAGAAGAAAATTGACCAAAAATTTCAACCTTCATATTTCAGAATTACTTTGCTTTGCTTGTTCCAAAGTAGGGGTTAAGTCAATTTACTATCATTTCATGAAGTTTTCATGTATGGCTAAGCTTAAGTTAGTAAATAAGTAAATTGATAAACAATGAACTTTTTTAATTAGTGAAAGTTAAAAACAAGCAAATTACTTATTTTGAAGGTAATCCATGTCTTGCTGTCAAAATAGTTACTTATCCAAACATGGTTAGAATGAAAGTTTCCATAAAAGCTCGTTACAAACAAGCTTCACTAAGCTTACTGATTCTTTGCATTTTTTTTATTTTTTTTTTGGGTCTTGTTTCGGCATTAAACATGCACTCACTTTCGAAATAAGCCTGGAAAAAGACAAGCTTGACCAAACAGGCATTTAGGTTTCTTGAATTCAAACACATAATGACAATGCAAACAAATCCAAAGCAGTAATAGTTGACTAAAAGTTCTCTGCTGATGTTAGTTACCGATTCCTTGTGCTAAAGGAAATTCATCACCTGTTGCAAAGCAGTAATAGTTGACTACGAGTTCTCTGCTGATGTTAGTTACCAACTCCTTGTGCTAAAGGAAATTCATCGCCTGTTGAATAACATTAATGGCCAGAGCAGTTGAGAATCATACAGCATTGAATGAAATAAGAAAAGGCCGAAGCGCTTTTACTGTGTTTACAGGCATTTTCAGTGGGGAGAATTCGATTCCGAGTCTTTTAATGTATCAAGCACACACCAGAGGTTCAAGTCAATAATTTATTAAAATCATACAGAAAAGAGAAACTTGAAGGTAAGCACGGATGATTTGCTGAATGAAGAAATAGATATCATTGAGAACTATGATAGGTGCTGTCCGATATGAGGTCTTCAAGTTCATCAACAACGGCATCATAGATGAACAAATATTGCTCCTGTATCAGTTAGCGGTACAGTCAGCAAAACTCAGGAAAGGGGTTTCAAAGAGATGTGTTAGATTTTGATAATAATCCAATTTTAATGGAAATCATAATAGATGTCATAATGATATAAAATCTTTATTATATTAAATTTTATGGTTTTACAAGATGCAAGGAAAATGTGACTGAAAAGGATAAATCTGCAGTTCCCGTTATTTAACAGTAAAAGAGGAAGCCCTCTATTTATCTTCACTAAATCGCAAGTACAGTGAAGCATCAAATCGGGAAGGAAACGTACCAATGTCTGAACCATTCCAATTCGTTGCGACCTAAAAGAGGTTATGGTATTAACAAGATCCAAAGCTGACATATCTCCCACAAGAACTCTTTGGATGGTATTGTGGATTGCACAGTATGTTCCAGTTCTACCTATACCTGCACTGTGAAAGAGGATAGGGATAAAATTTCAGATTCAATTTGATTATTTTCTCTGTCACTACTACTTGTGTGACATCGAAGGGGGGGGCAAACCTGCAGTGAACAACAATTGGTCCAAGGCTGGGTGGCAGACCATATAACCTTCTCAAAATTTCATGAACAGCAACAGTGTCCTTCGGAACTCCATGGTCAGGCCATTCTGGATACTGAATGTGAAGAACAGACAAAGATGGTTCCTCGGACTGCAGAAAAATAGGATTGACTTAGGTTTGGTCACAACTAATCAAAAAGATTAAGGGCCTGTTTGGGCCAGATTTTAATCCGATTTTAATCTAAGTAAAATTCAAACAATCAATATCAACCACATCTTTCGTAAATTCCACATCTTTTCAACCACACATTTCAAAAACTTCTATCATGATCCACTTAAAATCTGATGTTAATCTACACCAAACACCCTCTAAACAAATTGCTGGATAAAAAAAAAAGTCTGTCATACACACTAGATGAGCATGTAAGCTTCAGTTATTATGGAAAGATGAAAAAAGAATAGGCAAAGAGAATGAATAGAAAACAAACTGTAATGTAGCTAGAATAAGTTGTTGGAAGGAAAAAAAACGAAAGGAAAGTTTTTAGTTCCCAGCAGTATATAACAATATGTTGCCAAGCATATACATGAGAAGACAACATAGAGGTTCATCAGAGTTTTAGGATAAACAAAATTAGAAGTCCTTCAAAGATGTGCTTAAATGCTTGAAACTCACACATTTGGTTAATTGCTTAATGGAAGATTCGCTGTTTGTACTCCAAATAATCCAGTGTTTTAGTTCATAAAGCAGTCGAGTTCGATTAATTTGGAAATTAAAGGTAGTTTCGTCTTTTCATCAACAATAGAAAGCTGACATCCAATGTTCATGGATCATAATTTTATTTTCATTATGTTCTTTAAGTCTGCAAGGAAAGGTACTAAATTTTGAGTTTCCTACAAGCCTTGGTTCAATTGCTTGAAACCATGGAAATCTCAACCTTTTGAGTTCTTTGTTTAGTCAAAATATTCGAATAAAGAAGATATAATTTCTCATTGATGGTCCACTTTTTTTCTACAAGAGATAATACAATGAGACAATAAACCAAAGAAGGTTCTTTAGAAACTTTTACATTTGTAGACCGCCTCTCACCTCTTTGTAATTCACTTCCAAACGTCGCAACACTAATGAAGTATCTGTTGTTTGTATCCATTTCGTGACTATGCAGATGTTGCCGAACTCTCTTGGTCCATCCTCAGCTTGGAAATAATCCCCACACTTCACTGTCTGCATATTGTTTAGTTACAAGTATGAATATCATAAGAAAATTCGAAAAGAAAAAAAAAATCATAAAAACTTAACGGAAATACATTGATAACATGAAAAAAGGTTTTCTTTCTCTCTACATGACTAGATACAGAGGAATTGTTCTCAAAAGGCTGGATTACTTTTGATCTTATGCCAATGAATATCAAAATTGTGTACCTTGTAATTGTCGACCAACTTGGTAAGCATCACAATGACGGGACAGCGATACTGTATTATCATTTCCCAGAAGTCCTCAAAAGTGTGTGGCAGTGGACCTTGAGTTGCAATAAACCGAGAAACATTTTCTGAAGTCTGCAATCAAAACAATCAGTTTAGAAATAGTAAAAAATTGAATTAAATAGAATCAAACTTTTTCTGTACGAGTCTGCTTTAAATTGGAATGTTCAAATCAAATAAAGGATTCAGAAAACCACCGTGACAAAGCTTGCATTTATATAACCCCTAGCTGATGGTCTGTAATCTTTACACTGCTTCAAAATAACCCTGTTATTATCATCTGAGAACAATGAAAGTCAAGAGAATTATTCCTGAAAGATAAACATACAACTTAAAGATATTTGATAAATATAAATATGTTGCTGGATTGGCATACATGGTATGACATCAGTGTAACGGTTCTTGCTATAATTTACACCGTCGAGAGCTACTGTACATCTATTCCTCATGTCCAAAGATTTCGTCCTATTAGCCTGCCACAAAATAAATATAAATAAATGTTCTACATAGCTTATAATGAAGTGAAGTACTTCTATTTAGCAACATCAGAAATAGTATTGGTCATGTCAACTTACCTCCACAGGGAGAACATGTAAAAAAAGGACAGGGCTCTATTTCATTACAAATGCAACACAGATGCATGTACACTAATAATTTCTTGCAATATTAGAAAGAATTCTGCTTAATTTGCCCAAGTAATGACATAACCATGGTTGGCTTCTAGGGAACTTATATTGCAAAGTGAAAATACATGATTCGTAACAAGAATGGATTGAGGAGGAACACGGTAAAACTGCACAACTTGCAGGTACCTAAGGGAGCCAAAAATCTTAGGTGTATGTGGACATTCATGCAGACATCAAACATATCGCATATCAGTCCCATATATCACACTCTAGGTCATTATCACCATTAATTCCACAACGTCTATAAACATGCAAAATGCGTCTATGAGATATTACTAATTCTGCTCTTCTTACAGATTAATCGTACTAACTCTCACTATGTTTTCCATAGCCGGTCCCAAGCCCGGCCGAAGGAGGAGGGTTGTGGTTGGTTAACACACAATTTAAAACTCTATCAGATATGTCGTTTGACTTTATCTTTCCATTGAATCTGGAAGAATTAATCTCCCCCTCCAAAATTCAACGGGATTGACTAGATATAGACATGCCTTGAATATCCATCAAGTCAAAACAAAAGGTGAGCTTGGCATAATCTACTAATATTAGAGAATAATTAAAGTGGAAGCTATACCGTTTGCTTTTTATTACAGTTGGCTACTTCTGCAATTCGGATATATCATGGCAGCCTCAGTAACCAAAAGAACATAGAACCTAATTTCAAGGGCCAGTCTTGAATATTTCACTTTGTATTGGAGACATCCGCCAAATCTACCAAAATGAATTCTACTAAACCGCTCCCGCTCTGGTTTGTGCTCTGTTATTTCCTAAAACTACTTTTTGAAGAATCAAATTTCTTAGTTGGTCAGGGCATGAGCAAATATTTCCCCAAAACTTCAGATCTCTTATAATTTTGTTCATTATTCAAGTAAAAATGAATATTTTCTTAGTGAGAGGTCATAAAACACAAAATATTCAGAAAAAAATGAATTCTTCCTCATTTTGTAAAGACATGAGCAAAATTTCACCGGAACTTCAAATCTCTTAGATCATCTCCAATAGACTCTCTAAATGCAAAATACTCTCAATTTTAAAGAGTCAATAATTAAAAAAGCTCAAAGAGACTCCTTATTTTAACTTTTTAAAATAAAGAGTGGGTCTGGCCCTCCAAATTAACTCACTATCTATTCTTAATTAACAATGATTGCATTTAATAAATACTCTACAATTTAAATTATTCAAATCACGTTTGAATTGATTTGCCATTAACATTTAAAAAAATTATGTTAAATAAGAGATAAAGATAAATCAATAAATATTCATTCGAAAAAACAAAATAAAGAGCCAAAATAGAAAGTATTGTCTAGATGCATAAAAAAATTACTCCATAAATTTAAAAATATTTTCCATTATACATAAGATGCCCGAGTCTTTTGGAGATGCCTTTATAATTTAGTTCGCCTTTCAAAAAAAAAATGAATCTTTCCTAACACAAGAAATTCAGAAAAAATGGATTCTTCCTCATTTTGTAAATCCATGAGCAAAATTTCACAAGGACTTCAAATCTCTTAGACCAGCTTCAATAGACTCTCTAAACGCAAAATATTTTATATTTTAAAGAGTCAATGCTTAAAAAAATGCTCCAAGAAGAGTAAGTTTGGCTCTGCAAATTAACTCGCTATCTATTCTTAATTAACAATGATTGCATTTAATAAAAATACTTTACAATTTAAATTATTCAAATCACATTTGAATTGATTGGCAAACAACATATAAAAAAAATTATGTTAAATAAGAAATAAAGATAAATCAATAAATATTCAGTGAAAAAATAAAATAAAGAGCCAAAATAGGGAGCATTGTCTATGTGCATAAAAAGATTACTCTCTAAATTTAGAGATACTCGCTATTACACATAAGATGCTGGAGTCTCTTAAAGATGCAGTTATAATTTGGTTCGCTTTTCAACAAAAAAATGAATCTTTTGCTTGGCCATAAAACACACCAAACCCAAAAACAGGGAAAGAAAAGAACAAAGCACAGCCAACTTAAAAATTATTCAATCCCCTGCCTTTTCTCATCATTTTCTTAATACTTAAAAATAGATTTGCTACAGGTACATTAAGTTTGACATCATGGATGAAGTTTGCCGTGACAACGCTTTGGGTCATTGATTGAAATCGCTTATTCAAATCAATGAGACAATTTTTCACACGTCATACATGTCAACCAGCAATGTACAACTTAAAAATAACCATTAAAGTTTCAAAACAAAACTTCAGTTCTTATAGATAATTATTCTATATATACTTTTGCTTCAAACTCACTACCTCAATAAGATTTGTCAATGACAGATATATGCGTATATGGACATATACCTGCAAGGTTAGGAACTCCTGGCGGATGGTTTGAGGAGACTCGAACCTTTTCGCTTTAAAGAACTTGAGAGCTTCAGAGCAATTGCGGAGCTGATCGGCTGTGAGGGCAAGCCTTGGAGGCTTCGAATCTGCAGAGAAATCGAAAGTGGCCACCGGAGACGATGAGATGGCGGTGGAAATAGGTTTTCCGGTGGCAGCCATTGCCGATCTGCGGCCGCGCAAACGATTCGAGGCGACGTTACCCGTGGCTCTCGATATCGCGAATTTCTCTCTGTTTTTTTCTTTCACTTCTGTTTGCTATTTAGGTTGTGGCTTGTGTTAACTATAAATTGTATGATTGCTTTACAAACATTAATATGCCATGTTTGAGCCTCATTATTTTTTTTATTCTTATTCTTCTACTCATTTTTAATCGCACATTTTTCAATAAAATAATATTTTCCATCACATTAATAAATTTTTCTTCTTTTTCAATCACATATTCCACGTCACATCAAATACAAAAATACATTCTTGGACTCAAAATGTGCACCAAACATGAGCTAGATTAGACTTATGTACAATTAACATTATTTTAATCATATTTGTATTCTCAAAATAGAAAGCATTTTTTAAAAAAATAATAATAAATAAAGTATTTGGTTAGATTTTTAATAAATTTTAATAAAAGTTGATTAAATATGTAATTGAAAAGTTATGTGACCAATAAAATATATGATTAATATTGATGGTTTGATTTTGATTTAAATTAAAATTTAATTTTAATCAATACCAAACAAGGGCTTAGTAACTCACGTGATAATTTCGGTTCGATAATTTACACCACCCCTAACTACATTCCTTCGAGGACAGTGAATCCAACTACAGTCATCCTAGCACAATGCCTCCGACTATGGACATTTGAAGATAACTTGTTCTTTAACTATAAATACATTGCAAAATCTTTAGGAGTCGAATTCACCGAGTAACATGCAACAGTGAATATTAGAGACAAAATGACAGTATTATTAGTTGATGAACATTACAAAGCGAACGATACACTTTAGAGGAAAATCTTGGGATTAATGTGGAATTAGGTGAGAGTTTTTGACCGACTAGGTGTCTACTTAACTTTTTGGCTGGCAATTATTGTAAGTTGGATTTGAAGCAAAATCTTAAATAAAATTACTTGTCTTGGAATCCCACTTCATATACAAATGAAACATGACATCTTTGCTTCATGTATAAGCATAAAAAATGTTCTTTAAGCTGAGATCGTTCCTCTCCTCTTACACTTCAAGAATTTCCAAGAAATCAACAAGAAGCAAAAATGGGAAATTGAAGAATTCAAATCTTTATATCATATTTGATGCACCTTGATGAGTTTGTATTGACATGCTTGCATGTACTAGATGAGTTCTTGTTTTAGTAAAACGTTCATTTGTATCTATGCATCCTTTATATCCACATTGGCATGTTGAGGGTCTAGTGTCTATCGTTCTGAACGAGTCATCTAGCATAACACTTTCTTTTAACGTTTACTTATTTTGGAAATAAAATAAGAATCCTCGGGCAAAATTGACTCTATAGCAAGCAGAAAGACTCACCCCGTATAGGACTCTTAAGGTGTCCAAGGCTGGTCGGCGAGATTCACACAATTAATTTGTTCTTTCAAGTGAGATTAGCACAAGTAACCCAAAGAACAGAGCTAATGTTGGCAAAAATACGGGACATGCATGGATAAACCAAAACTTGGATCATGCATCAGAGTTTCCCACATAAATCCCATGTTTTCTCTTCGTAAGTATTTCCAGAGTAGCCAATCTCAAGGCCTTAATATATTCAGCTTCCCCGTCAGTGCAATGCATACTATACACAGAATTGAGATAGCACAGGCATCTTGAGCCGACAGAAGTCCAAACCACAAACTCCTGAACCTGATGTTGGGCAAGAAGGCTAAGCATCTATAAATTTAGATAGTAAAATATTTGAAGTACTCTAACGCACTCTTTATATTTAACACTTGATTTACCACCCCCAATATATATTTATTGTTTTTTCCTTATATTTTATTTCACCAGCTTCCATCCAAATTATCATATTATTTTTTCCATTAAAATATTTTGAATGCATTTAATTATAGAGAATGTATTAAGAAACATAATTTTAAGAGTTCCAACTCTTTAAAATATGCATTTATTATAAGGAGTGTGTTAATTTAAAGAGTCATTTGAAACATAATTTTAAAGGTTGACTCTTGAAGATGCTCTAACTCAGGTAAACTAGTCGTTCTTCCCTTTTTGACAATATGATTTCTATCGTGGAATTCTGAAATTGCTAAACTTCGCTGTTTTAGCATTTTGCACAATATCTTTCTCAAGTATTGGTAGAAACTAAACTGAATATAATTGACAGGTCGGGCTGGTTCGTACTGAATTCAACATGTTGTTATCAATAACTACAAAATTAGCAGTTAAGAAAAATAAAGGTCTTAATGACGCTTGACTCTTTCACCATTTGATGCTTGCAGTCCGCTTATCACTGGTAGTAGTACATGGCGCAGACCGATATTGAGTAGAATGAAAGATATGGCTAAATTGGAATCAAGACAAGTTAATAGAACTTTGCATCTAGTTCAACCACCAAACAAATTACGAAAGATATCATGCATTAGATGTTGGTGCTAGGACTCTACGAGAACAACACACTTACACTCAATGAATATCATCTAGAACTCGTTGATCATTCTAACAGGCACGATATTATTTTATTCAATCAAGAATTCAACTTGTAGTTAACACAAAACAACCAATTATCACACTACAGATCAATGAACATCAGTTCTATTCAAATGTGCCGATTGTCTCTGAATGAAACTAATAAAGATACAAAAAATTATCAACAAAAAACAGACAAAATAAATCCCAGAAATTACAATGGTTCCAAAATCAAACATATGTATTTGATCGAAGATTATTCCTTGACTTAATACAATCTGTCTTGTACAGTATAAGATTGTGGTACATTTGAAATTCGTATGATATTTTAACAGTAATCTTTCCTAGGGCGTTCAGATAAAGATATTTTTTCTAGTATATAATCTCAAGTTATAGTGGAGGAATTTGAGTTTTGAGGGGAAGGGATACTTCAGAAGACACCTCACAAGTTTCTTTACTCAATGCTTAATGGCAGAGCCAACATTTGGAAAGATTAGAATGATCAATCTGATGGAAAAAGGAACGAATAAAGTTTGTTAATTGATTTAGTCTCCCTCAAGTAATTCCAGTATTTAAACTAGACTTGAAACATCGGGTATTTCCCTTGCCTTTCAAAATTTATTCAGTCCCACAAAGCTTAATTTTGCACTCATAGCATTTTGCATAACATCTTTCACAAGATGTGTAATGAATTGTGAGATACCGTCTTTTCACTTGCATTGGAGTACAATGAACATTTGCACTCCGTATTTCATTGCTCAACAGGTTGCAAGACTAAAAACTTTAGATCAGCCTCAAATATTTTAAACAAGTACATATAAGAGTTTCAATATTAAGTTGATCGAGCTGATATATAGGGTTACAATCAACTAGAAACGAAATATTTTAGGTTAATTATGCAGTCAAACTGTTAAGGAAATAATTAATTTATATATGGAAACATAGGACAAACATCACGGAGAGCACAGTAACGTTTCCATATCGTTATTAATTAGCTAACATTTATTTACAACTAATTTTGATGAGTCGGCTTTAGAACATCCTTACTTTATCTAGTGCAAAATCTTTAAGTGAAATAAAGCTTGAGACATGAAGCAATGAAGGAATAGAGGAACGAGGAATTGTGTCAACCATTTGCAGTTTTGCTATGATAATTTTAGAAAAATAAGTGGTAGTTCTCCCATGACAGCAAGATATCATCATCCTGATAAAAATTCAAAGCCTGGAATGTCTCATTTTCCAATCATGCAAATTATGGCATTTGGGTGATGACATATTCATTGGTCCATGATTGTTCTATGTTGCACCGAGTTTGTTGTTGTCAGTACTACGCTTAAGATTTTAACTTGAAGTTGGCTAGGATGTCCTGAAGGAAGAAGGAGGCGGCACTGAAGCACCAAAAGTTGAAAAGATGCTAATATTACTAGCATGTGTATACTCACTTATCAAATTTAATGATCTATAGGCTTCTAATCTAAAGAGCCAACTAATTTTAGAGTTGGAGGGCCATCAGTATGCAACCCAGATGCCACACAACTTCAAATTTTCACACTACAGATCAATGAATACCAGTTGAATCGAATGTGCACAATAGTCTCTGAGTGAAATTAATACCTGTTTGAGCCTCATTATAATTTCAATACATTTTCTCTCTCCTTGTTTAATTATACATTTTTCAATAAAATAATATTACACGTAAACTTAAAACTTTTCTTTCTTTTTTAATCCCACATTCTTGAAAAAAAAAATGTACTTCAAAATACATTTTCTCATTAAAAATAATAATAATAATAATAATAATAATAATAATGAATCCCAAACAGGGGCTAAAAGGGAAATAGTTTACCCGTCATAGGCATGATTACCAAGAAAAAATATGAAGATCATTTATCAACCAGAGTGGTGGAAATGGGACAAACAAGCTGGAACTAATCCACAAAACGATCCAGTTGTAGCCTAAAAATGTGTATCAAATGATCGAGATGTGAAGAGTTCTTTTATGTCGTTCTCTCTAGAAAGTAGGGAAAATTGGCTGAAATAACTTTTTTTCCACATTGAAGAATCAAAATGGAAATTAGAGGGATGAATTGTAAAAATGATGAACTATGAATATTATTACATATGTTCTGATTTACAATGGGAAATAGTGATAGCTTATATAGAGGAAATAAGCAACGGTTGCCTATGCTCTAATCTAATGTTGACCTACTGTACAATACAAGGAGTTGGTGAAAAGTAGAGTGGCTACTTCTCTGAATATAGCTGCTCCTTTTTTACCTAAAGTGGCCTATGATGAAATGACTCTTCACAGGTCTGTGGCCTGTGATAAATTGATACTTTCACTTGATCTGATGTCTTCCTAACACAGCCAATGATGAGCTTAAGATCTGAGGCTATTATGTTTACTAGTTCTTTCAACAAAAAACAACTTCATAGATCTCATCTCACCCAATGAAGATTTCCCCTGAAAACTAGACCAACAGAATAGCTCTTATTCGCAAATGTGAAGCCCCAAATGCCTCTCCACGAACCTGTTCCTAGTTATACTCAGGCACGACACTCAGAACTTTGGAATACTTGAGCATGCCCCAGAAGAACTACATTTAATGTTAAGTTGATCCTTGACTTCGTTCTCACTTCACACAGAAAGTATTGCAAGAGACATTCTGAAGTTAGCAGGAAAATGAGAAGTTTATATCCTTTCCTAGTTATGTCTATGAACTTGAGAAACAGTTTCTTCTTTAGATTGAGATTTGCATTATTAAATTGTGTAAAAGAAAATAATTGAGCCTTCAAGAAATAATTAAACAGAATCCAGAAAATACGACAAAATATTTCCATTAAACCAACAATTAGCAGCTTGAGTTAACATTGGAAATTTAGAGGAATGACTTACTAAAGTCATACAACTAGTTTTCATATTGGAGGTCTTAGAACTTTCTTACATTCTCGAGTACAAATCTTTAAGGGAAAGAAAGCTCGAGATGTGAAGCATTGACCGAATAAAGTAATAAGTACGATCTATAATGTCAACCTTTCGAACAGATTTTCTCTGAGTACTGTAGGAAAACAAGTACTTTCCTTCTAACAATATATCACCATCTTTAAAAATGTTTAAAGCACGAACATGCTCCAGTTGGGGTTTGGCCCATGATTTCTCAACTCCGTAGTCTTTCATCACCCAGATGACAAAATCAAAGTCTGAATTATTGTCACTTAAACATAGACAACCCGAAATAACTCCAAGATCATAGGAAGTTTTTTTATTTTCTTCAACATGGAAAGGAGTGGGGAATGACTGAAATGACTCCTCCTCGAGATTAAAACAAGAAATCAACTTGGAGCCCTCTAACTCTTTTATCATCCAATGAAGACTTCCATTGAAAAATGTACCAACATCACTATAAACATATTCACATGCAATTGGGACACCCCCAATGTTTCTCCATGAATCTGTTCCAATGGTGTAAACAGAACACTCAGACTTCGTAATTTTTGAGCGAGCACCTATGGTGGTATAAAATTCATGCTTGTGAAGAAATTTAACAACTTTGTATTGATCACTAATGGTACTTACTCCAAACCCGGATGCAACAGGAGTAGAATATACAGCAGACCATTCGAGTACCGGAAGGATAACATACTCCCGCGTAATGGGGTTACATACATATAGCTGATCTTTTATAAGATCAAAATTGCGGAAGCAAACAAAGCCATTAACGGAACCTACTAGCGTTGGAGGACCCGAAACGTCATGCAATACTGAGGGCTCAAATTTGATTACTGGATTGTAGTATACATCATGATGATCAATCTCATCGTTGAATTCGAAAAGTCTGCACAATTCTCTGCGTCCATGCAAATCATAATGGAACGAAACAAGGCAAAGAGTTGATCTGGAAAGATGCAACTTTGCAAACTCAGGAGTTGAGAGTAGGCAGCGAGATTTCTTACAAACAATCTTGCAGTTCATAACTGTTACTGCTGGAAGTCTCGAGAAAATTTCAACAATAATCTCTGAAGGTAGATTCATCAAGAATTTCTTGTCCCTCATTTCTGCTTGAACTTTTTTTGATAATTTACCATCTGCCATATTGCTTACCTGGGTACCTTGATATGCCTACTGCAATATATAGGTGCTGTTTGATGGAATTTATGATTCTTGGTTAGGTCAAAGGTTTCAGGCTCATTAGGCTTTTTATTTTCTTGCACTTGTACAGCAAGACATTTTCTTGAATCGTACAAAACCTGTAAATTAAAAGATAAAAAGAAATAAATGATACAAGTAGCCGAAAGAACAATAAATGTGGACTATTAGAGACCGAAAGTACCTTGAAAATTGAAAGATTCAAGTTAACCTAGGTTTCCATTCAAAGTAGGTGAAAAATCAGTCTTCGTTTAGATATTAGAAAATTTTTGCTTTAACTGATGGTAATTGATTGTACCAGAAGCATTTTAAAAGACACCCCGATTAAAATAGTGTAAGTTTCTAACTCATTTTTGTTCTTTTATCTCATCACCAGTTGTCTAATCCAATTTACCAAACATGTCACTATAGTGTAATGAATTAAGTTTCCTAATTTTTTAGAGATAACCGAGCCCCTATCGGGTGGAATTTTGTCCTCTGGCTGTAAAGAAATTTGGTACATCCATTTTTCGCTTACATTAAAAATCCATGCGAGCATCATATAATTAATATGAAAGATATAGATATGATACTCTGGTCATAATAGCATTAAAATGTGCTCAAATTTCAGAAAAAAACCCACATTTTTTTTAGTATTCTATGAGCAGAATATAGCAAAATTCTTCTCCTCGCTCAAAGAAAAAATTATTCTCTTCTTGTCAGGATTGATTCATCTTTAAATCTCAACGAAAATCGGAATTACAGGTGCTTGTACCTTCAAAGTTAGTTATAGAAACCAATTGAGATAGAAAAATAACCTGCGAAAGAGAGAGTAGAATTATGTATAAAAGAAAGTATTGTAGATTAATTATAATCAAACTAGTTTAATTAAACTCATAGAAACATTGACTGAATATAGGAGTTAGGAATTGTGTCAACCATTTTCACAGTTTTGCTCTGATTATTATTGTAAGCAAACAAGTAGATGTCTGCAATGCAACATTAAATCACCAGTCTCTAAAACAAGTTCAAGCAAGAATTTTCAAATTTCTCAGCCATATAGAATCTGGCATTTTGCGGGTGACAAATTCTTTGGTCCATGATTTCTTCACTCCATATATATATATTCCTTCATAACCCATATGAAGTTCAACAAGTTACTAGGCCGAGTTTTAAAATATTGACAAAAAAAGAAAATGGGATAGGTCCAAAACCGAGCATATCCCATTTTCATAAGATTATTAAAAAAACGTTGGACAGTGTAAGAATTCAGAACACCCTTATATTCTCTGTAAAATTCTTGAGTGAAACAAAACTTGGGACATGAAGCATGGTCTGAATGGAATAATTAGGAACAACTTCAACTTGTTGCAAAGTTTTGCTCTGATTCCTGTAGAAAAACAAGTAGTCCTCCCATGACATCAATATATCTCCATTTTCAAAAACTTTTAAAGCATAAACCATTTCATATGATATCCCCGCAAATTCTGGCATCTTGCTAATGAAAAAAAAAATTCTTTGATACATGATTTCTTCACTCCATATTCCTTCATAACCCATATCACAAATCAGAATCTGAAGTATTCTCGCACAAGCATAGACAACCTGTGACAACTCAGAGGCAAGGGATAGGTGAATAGCTGAAACGACTCCTTTTTGACGTCGAAACAAGAAATTAACTTGGAGCACTCTAAATCTTGTATCACCCAATGAAGATTCCCGTTGAAAAATAGACCACCAACAGAACGACAATTATATGCAAATGGGACACCCCAATTCCTCTCCACGAATATGTTCCAAGGGTGTAAACATGACTCGGACTTTGGAATACTTAGGATTACCCCTGTTGTGGGATCAAGGACACACTCGTGAAAGATGTTGAAATTTGGTTTAGAGAATGAAATTAAGTATGGAAAAGTAATTATTGTGTCAATTTCGACCAAATATTCGGACTTGATTCGATAGTCAAATTATGAATATAAATAGACTAATTTGTTCTACTCGTCAAGGTATATTTGGAATTTCAAAACCAATTCCGGATTGTGGTCTAAAGTTGGATAGAAAAGATGATGCATGGGCTAGAAATGACTATTTCCATTGCTCTAGCGAGAGCAACTGCTACGATCTTTGGCAAAGGTTGCTGAGTTTGAGGCGTGACATTTCACTCACAACCTTTCCTCTTTTATATAAAGGACTCTTTGGACGTCCATTAAGCATCTCATATAATTTGAACTGAGCATTACATAAAAAAACTCTTGCAAAAATTCTTATATACCAGCATTACCAGATATAAATATGTGAAAATGTTGAACAAGAAGAGGGTTGTTATATAATTGTTTGTTGTTCAAAATTTGGGCCCTCTTTTTGTTAAAATGTGAATGAATTAATGATGAAATTGGAAGACAATGTTGGATGGAATTGATAGGCTATGTTGGGTGATTTCTGCTTAACCATGCTTAAACACGGGCTAAATGATCATGTGTAAGCATGGCCTCATCTGCAAAAAATAGAAGCAATTTTGCTTCTACTATGCGTACGCATGTATATTACCATGCTTAAGCATGGTTCAAAAATTTAACCGTTGGGCTGATTTTTTTATTTGAATTTCTGGTGTCTTTTGATGGAAAGTTCCCAACTTTTCACGAGTATTTGAAACCTCTTCGTGGTATAATGTTAGAAATCTATAAATAGGTGATAGATTTCCAAATTCAAACATAAGAAAACAATCTTAGAAATCATCATTCATTCTATACTTGAATTTTTCTATGTACATATTCAAACATTCTTCAAATTTTCAACGAGTTCAACTAGAAAGAATCATTTTCCTTTTGTGCTTCTTTCTTGAAGGCTTCAATTCTTGATACATTTTTCCAAAAATCATAAAAGCACACTAGAGGAGGCAAATATCGTTTTTAGGACAGCTTATCATATACGTGTTCAAGCCCTATTCTTCATTTCATCTTTTTGAAGTTTCCATCTCCATCTTCTCTCTAAAATATTTCCTAAAGAATCAATCAGAAGGAATTTGGTACATATATTTCTCACATTCGTTAATAATCAGTACTGCATCATGGAAAGATTTTGGTCATCTGGTATGGTGATGCCTTTCTATAACAATTAACAAAGACTAAACTAGTCATAATGAACACGTGAACCTGCTTTCTGTGAAACCCAAACAGCCATTTTATTTTTAACAGATATGTGAAGCATATGACGCAGAAGCTAAGTTATTTGGTTTCATTTTATACTTCGGCAATCAATGAGGGGCAAACTAAGTTTGTGCTTCGAACTCTCTCAAGTCTGGAGCTTAATCCCCTCGACCACAAATGGACCTGTCTAAGGGAGCATCTTTTCTAAGTATGTGAAATATATCTGAAACACCCCCTATGCCTCTCCATGAACCTGGGTGTAAACATGATACTCAAGACTACGGAATATTTAAGCATACCTCTGTAGTGGGATCATCAACAAAATCATGAAAAATTCTTACGACCTTGTATTGGCCACTTATTGTGCTTCATCCAAACCCGTAAGTGACTTGACTGGGATAATCAACTAGCCAGTCAAGCATCAGAAGGGCGACATACTTCATACTTGTCATGGGATACCATATGTATAGTGTATTCACGACAAACGTTGCACTGGCAAACTAAACCATTGATGGAAGTGGAACCTACCTACAATGTTGCACCACGGCTGATGCTAAGCAATAACGACAGTTCAAGTTCAATCACCGGATTATAGTGAAGATCATTACGTTCAAGATTATCTTCAAATTCAAATAGTCGACAAACTCGCCGGGATGCAACTGCCTTGTGTTCGAAGAGAGTGAGGCCAGATTTGATCTGGAAAGATGTGACTTACCAAACTCATGAATAGAGATTAGGCCAAGCCATTTCTTGCAAACAAACTTGCAGCTTATGATAGTTGCAGCTGGAAGTATTGAGAGAATGTCTACAATGATATGCAAAGATAGATTCATCAAGAATCCCTCATCACTCATTTTTGGAGTTATCTTTGATTGATCCTTCAATAAACAATATAGATGCAGTTCATAGTCTGCATCCATCTATTAATATTCTTAAACCCCATGAACCAGATGTTTGAATTATTTTCATATTGTCCTTGAACTTAATTCATAAATAGAAAATCACGTCTGCATTGTCCTGTTTTCAATTATTCCTGAAGTTTTTTGTGTTGAATCTTTAATTTTAATGAAAGGGAACTCTAACAGACTGTGTCACTAGATTATAGTGAAGATCTTGGCAGTTGACCTCAAGCTGGTGTTCAGATTCAACTAGCTTGCACTAAAGCACTTCTATCTCATATAGGTTGAACGGTGTCTTGTTAACAATATATGATATTATGGGTAGCAAGTCTCGGAGGATTTTGACAGTATACTCGTCAAGAAATCCCTGATCAATCATTTTTTGCAGTTCTACGATCAACTCTCAAATAATGCTGAAGTGAATAGCTTGATTTGTCTGGATTTTTTTTCTCCCAATGAGCCAATCTAGACAGACTTTTCAAATATTCATTTTTTTATGAAGATTATTCTTGGATACATCACAATTATATGTATTCTTGGACCTGAAAATCATAATAACTTCTAATTCTGGACCATCAAAGTTTCTCGCAGTCTTATGCTTGCACCAAAAACCAAGTCTGGGTCTAAGGTGAGTATTAACTATTGGTTCATTTCAGACGAGAGGTAGCCAAAGGTCATTCAATACGCATATAGTATAAAATTTCAAAAGTTATCTTGCCTATGATGTCTAGAACAAAAACGTTTTCTGGTATTGGATTATATGACATCGGGCTGATAGCAAAGGAAACAGAGTTCCCTGGGAAAGGGATCTTCCACAAGACACATCTCGTGTTCCTTGATTTGCCTCAATCTGATCAAATAAAGAATGACTAAAGTTTGATGATTGATTTAGTGTCCTCTAAGTAATTAAATTATTTTAATGAGACTTGAGAAACATTAGGCATTTGTTCTTACCTTAAAAAGGTCTATTCAGTTCAACAAACCTCAATTAAAAAAAAAAAAAGAAAAAAAACCCTGAATTATGATTATGACCAGCCCATTTCTTCCTCGGAAGGGCATTGAATTTCAGTCCCTCTCATGATCATCATTTCTTAGATACTAGAGCATATTGGTCAACAGAATTATGTATGCCTATGCTAGAGTATACATACATCCCGAGTCCTCGGGATGTATTTCAGAGCTAAACCGATATCAAGTGAATTCTATCAAATGTAGTTTGTGACTTCGCCCCCAAATAAAGCAACATGAAAAAAAATTAGAAACATGAATAATTATTATACGTTAATTACAATTTCTCTAATTTCTTGATACAGAATTCTTATGAAAAGATTAGCCAGCTAAACCAATACAAGCAAAACAATATATTATTATACTGACAAAATAAATTTGATGATAAGTTTGCTACACGAGGAAATAAGAATAATACAATTCCTGGAGGCAAATCAGAAGGAATTGAACCCGGACTTACTTTGTATCCGAGCGTAACAGCGATGAAGACTCCCGGTTCACATGCTTTCCTGAGGCTGAGGACAATATTCCTGCAGTTTGGAGGGATGAGGAAGAAGAAGGAGCTGGCACTGAAGCTGCAATAGTGGAGAGGGCGCTAATACTACTACTAGCATATAAACTGGTTCCCCCTACAGAACCCTCGGTTGCAGCCTTAGGGGCCGGTGGCTTATCAATTTCGGTGATCCCTTCCAACATTTGAACCACCTTACCCATCATAGGCCTTTGAGATGGTTGCTCTTGGATGCACCAAAAGCTAACCAGAATTGCTCTAATCAGTTGCTCCATATCTATCTCATTCCGGGGAAGCCTTTTATCCACAATGGCATAAAAATTACCCTTTTCAAACTCCTCGTACGCCCACACTGAAAACTTCATGTGGTTTGTCTCTTTTGATACATCAAAATTCCTCCTTCCGCTCACAATCTCCAACAACACCATCCCATAACTGTAGACATCGGATTTGGAAGTTATTGGAAGGTTAGCAAGCCATTCTGGAGCCAAGTATCCTCTAGTCCCCCTCACACTCTTCAAGGTTCTATACCTATGATCTTTTGGATTAACAAGTTTTGCAAGACCAAAGTCGGATACTTTTGCATTGTAGTTCTCGTCAAGAAGTATGTTTTCAGGCTTTATATCACAATGCACAATGCAGTCCCGGCATTCCTCGTGCAGGTATGTGATCCCCTTTGCAGTCCCGAGCGCAATGCTATAACGATATTCCCAACTCAAAAGCTTTCCAGATTGTTCCTCGGAGACAAAGAGGAAGTTATCGAGAGAACCATTTTTCATGAACTCATATACTAGTAACCTATGACGCCCTTCCGAACAGAATCCAATCAGTCTCACCAAATTCAAATGGTGAGTGCTGCTGATTGTTGCCACCTCCATTCTAAACTGTTTCTCACCTTGTTCAATCCCCTCTAACTGTTTCACTGCAGCCACCATCCTATTCGCAAGTACCCCTCTATAAACGGCCCCAAATCCTCCCGCTCCAAGCTTCTCCTTAAAACCCTTTGTAGCCTTCTGAAGTTCCTTATAAGCGAATTGCACTGGTGCACCAGATGCATACTCAAGAAGAGCATAGTGTCCCGAGAATCCTCCAAATTTAGAACTATTCCTAACGCACCACCACCACAAACTGCCCTCAACAACCACCAGGACCAAAACTGTGACCACCACGACCACCACAACTAACCATGCCGACAACCTCCACCCATTCCTTTTCCTACCACCCGTCCCATCCGTGGAGGGAGTAGGCACCACCGGCCCACAAACCTTCATAAAAGAAGTACTAGGAATTGCAGGCGAATGATACCCACTGATAAAGTCACTGGATTTCAAGTAGCACTGCCCTGATCCATCCGACAAGGAAGTAGACCCTTTGCAAGAACCTACAAGACAATTCAACTTACAAGCGGAGATAGCAATGTAGAAAATTTGCGTGGATAATTCAGGAGGGTATGTCAAGAACATGGAATGATCCAATTGCAGCATAGTCTCGCTCCCCGGGCAATCTAGAAGCTCGACTTTTCTCTTGCACCCTTTTCTGCTATCCCTCTTATCAACGAGTTCAAAATTATCCGAAGGACACCCACAAATCGGGTTTGAATCGTTGTAACCGCATATTCCCATATTGCCACAGAATCCATAAACCTGGCACTGATCATCCACTGCTGCCCACCTCTCAATTCGATTTCCACTGCCTGAGGTGTAACTGTAAATGCGCAAATTTCCATCGTTATCTAATTTGAGAAACCTGAATATATTCCCTTCCTCAGCATAATCACTGCTGTAGGCTAAGTCCAGAGAATTCGATAGCGTAGGATCGGAAAGCGTGAGGATTCCAGTAGATCGAATGTCAAGTACTGGATTGCTTAAATTCGAATTCATGGTGGAATTCAGCCCGGAATTGTAATACTCAACTGAATTATTCCACCAAAGCGTCAAATTCCCATTTTTTTGCAGCTTAAATGAGTAAAGCCCAGATGAAAGAGTATGTCTTACAAAGAAACTTTGATTTGGAACAATTACATCAGTGGGATGGTCGAATGAGGTCCATACGGCGGACCCAGATGCGTTCTTGAGGATCAAATTGCCGGAATCTTCGAGTGAAACGGCGGTGACGCTGAGATTGGCCGTGCCGGAGGACCAAACAGGAGTAGCAGAGGTGGAGGAAGGCAGGAGCTGGAGGTCACCGGAGGCGACAAGGCGGAACACGGCAGAGGAATTGACGGATGCGGAAGAGCCACCAGCTTTCCATATGGGGATGCTGTTGAAGGTAATAGCAGCATACAGGGCAGTAGCGCCGCCAGGGTGAACCGAGTCGGTAATGAAGGAAAGAGTTGTGCCATTGGGTGAGGTCCATTTGGAATTCGGGTCGGATGCATAAAGGGTCGACCCGAGTGGTATATCCGCCGCTAACACGGCGGCGAAAGTGGCAAGGAGAGAGAGGAGCAACAGTGTGAATGCATTTGATGGTAGTGGTAACATCTCTTTCTAAGCACACACACAATCACACACTGCATAAATAGAGACACATAAATGTGTATATATAAAATATTACACGCTGTATAGTGTGTGCGTGTAGATTGGTGGAGGAGAAGTTGACTTTAGAAGTTCGAACACGGGTGGAGTCACGTTATGTTCTTTGTGGTCAGCAATTCATTTGACTGCTTCACACAGGTAGCTTTCATTTTTCTTACCAATAATTACGTTTGCATTACTATATCACCACGAAACTCCGTGAAATAAGAATCGGAGTAAAATCAAATCAGTTATTAAAAATCGAGACCAACTATTTTATGGTTAACTTCGTTACCAACTATTTATTTTTAAAAGAGTAACAATATCAAGAAAAACACAAGTACATTGAAATAAGCTAAAATTTGAATAAAGAGTTTGGATCAAATTTTGTGACGGAAATATAAGGTCCATGAGTTTTGAGTAGAATCAATATATTTTTCACCGCTAACGTCTTTGAAATTTCAGGCTTAAAATCACCCTCTCGACCGTGCCCTAATTGTAGCAACGGTTGGTTTTATGTTTAGTTTATTGGTTAATTGGTCGGTTACCACCACGTTTGTATTTTCCTTTTAGTTGGATTTCTGTTATTTGTTGATTTATTCTACTTACCACATTATACCAGTTATTAAGCGTATGCTATGTTAATGCTTGTTTCAGTTTTATTTCAGTCTCTGTAAGACGACTTTCTTCCATTTTCATTGTACTCTTTATTCATTTACTGACAATTGGTATCAGAGCTCCATCACAGCGCCTGACTAGTTAGAAGCAACGATCTTCTACAAGTGTTCTATTTGAACGATGATGGCAAAAAGTTCGTTTGTACAGCCATCCATTCCTAAGTTTGATGTGTACTATGATCACTAGGCATTGCTTATGGAAAACTTCTTGCGCTCGAAGGAGTATTGGGGCTTTGTGGAGAATGGAGTTCCTGCAGCAACAAAAGGTGTTGTTCTCACTGATGCATAGAGGAAACACATTGAAAACCAGCAGTTGAAAGATTTGAAAGCAAATAACTATCTATTTTAGGCATTAGATCGTTATATCCTAGAGACAATCCTCAACAAGAAATCTACAAAGGATATCTGGGATTCTATGAAGTAGAAATATCAAGGCACGACACGAGTGAAGCGTGGCAGCCTGCAAGCTCTTCAAGAGGAATTCGAAGTACTCCACATGAAGACAGGAGAATATTCGAACGAATATTTCTATCGCACTCTCACCATAGCCAATAAGATAACAGAAAATGAGAGGACAAGGGAAATACTACTATTTTTGAAAAGATTTTAAGATCGGTAACTCCCAAGTTTGATTATATTGTGTGTTCTATTGAAGAGTCTAAAGATATCAACAATTTAACCATTGATGAGCTGCGAAGTACTCCACATGAAGACAGGAGAATATGCGAAAGAGTATTTCTCTCGCACTCTCACCATAGCCAATAAGATAAAAGCAAATGGAGAGGACAAGGGAAGTACTGCTATCTTTGAAAAGATTTTATGATCCATGACTCCTAAGTTTGATTATATAGTGTGTTCTATTGAAGAGTCTAAAGATATCAACAGTTTAACCATTGTGCATGAATTCATATGTTGAAGAAGAACATGCTTTGAAGATAACTCATGGAGACCACTCAGAAGGAAGAGGTCATGGTCGTGGAAACTATAGAGAAAGGGGAAGAAGATGCAACATGAGGTCTTTTGATAAGGCTACATTGGAGTGCTATAATTGTCACAAGCTAGGACATTTTGCATGAGAATGTCCAAGGAGACATAAGCAAATTATGCACTGAATCAAGAAGAGATGTTGATGGCGTATGTGGATATAAACAAAGTTAGTCGAGAAGACATGTGGTTCCTTGATTCGAGATGTTGCAATCACATGAGTGGAAAGAATGAGTATTTCTTAGAATTTGATGGGACTTTTCGAGATTCTCTAAAGCTTGGCAACAACACAAGCATGGTTGTGTTAGGAAAGGGTAATGTAAGGCTACAAGTGAATGGACTAAAGCAAATCATCACGTGTGTGTTTTATGTACCTCAGTTGAAGAATAATGTGCTAAGCATTGGACAATTGTAGGAAAAAAGACTTACTATTTTGTTTCAACATGGCAAGTGTGACGAGTTTCATTCACAAAAGGTTTGATTATGGATACGAAAATGTCTTCAAATCAAATGTTTGTAATGCATGCTATGTCCCAGCCTATTGCATCCATTTGCTTCACACAATCACAGAAGCCATTATACAGCTTTGGCACTGTCGATATGGACATTTGAGCTTTAAAGGTTTAAAAACTCTCTAAAAAAAGGCAAATGGTGAATGAATTACCACAAGTTCAATCTCCATCAAAACTATGCAAGGATCGTTTGGTAAGTAAACGACAAGGGGACTCATTTCCAAAGAAAAGCACTTGGCGAGCAGCAGAAATTCTTCAGTTTGTGCATGCAGACATTTGTAGACCAATTAAACTCATCTATAACAGGAAGAAAAGGTACTTGTTCATTTTCACTGATGATTTTAGTAGAAAAATGTGAGTTTATTTTTTGGTAGAGAAATCAAAAGCCTTTGATTTTTTCAAAAGTTTAAGACTCATGTTAAGATGGAAACCAACTCTTTTCTAAGAAGTTTACTTACTGATCGAGAAGGGGAGTTTACAACCCAGGAATTTGTTAATTTTTGTGATGAAAATGGCATACGACGATAGTTAACAACTGCATATATGCCACAACAAAACGGAATTACAGAATGAAAGAATAGAACTATTATGAACATGGTTCGAAGTATGCTTTCAGCAAAGAAAATTCACAAGACTTTTCGGCATGAAGTAGTAAACTGGATAGTGGATGTTGTGAATTAAAGTCCTACTTTTGCAGCACAAAAAAAAACTCTAGAATAAACTTGGGGTAAAGTTAAGCCTTTAGTTGAATATTTTAGTGTGTTTGGATGCCTTTCTCATGTTCATGTGCTTGACAATAAAATAACTAAGTTCGATGACAAGAGTTTCAATTGTGTTATATTGGAAGTTAGTGAAGAATCAAAGGCTTATAGACTTTGTGATCCAATTTCACAAAATATAATAATTAGTAGGGATGTTGTATTTCAAGAAGATAAGAATTGGGATTGAAATAAAAAGTATGAAGAAGGCATTATATGTGATTTAGAATGGGATGATTGTGAAGGAAAAGCAACTGAGAATTAGGAAAGAAGTAAATCTGATCTTGATGCTAATATAGAAGAAGACGTGAAAGATAGTGAAGTTGATGCTATTGTCGAAGCACTGGAACTGATTCTTTAATTCAAAACACCGACAACTTTCAAAGCTTAAGTGCAACAAGAAATAGAAGACCACATGTCTGGATGAGAAATTATGAAACATGAGAGGGACTTTCTGAGGAAGAAAATAAAGTCCAACTTGCCATGTTTGCAGCTATTGCTGATCTTGTTTATTTTGAAGAAGCTGTAAAAAGTGAGAAATAGATAATAGTCATGGACGTGGAAATGGAAGCAATAAAGAAAATGTCACTTTGGAATGGACAGAATTACCTAAGGGAGGAAAGACAATTGGAGTCAAGTGGGTTTATAAGACTAAGTTGATGAAAATGGGGAAGTAGAAAAGCACAAAGCTCGGCTTGTAGCAAAGGGTTATACACAGCAGTATGAGATAGATTATACTGAGGTTTTTGCACCTGTGGCATGTATGGAAACAATTCATTTGATAGTAACACTCACAGCTCAAGAGGGTAGTCTATTTATCAGTTAGATATGAAATTTGCATTTTTACATGGTGAGTTGAATGAAGAAGTTTTTGTAGAGCAGCCTTGCGGTTATGTGCAAAAGGGAAATGAGCTAAATGTTTATAAGTTAAAGAAGATACTTTATGGGCTTAAACAAGCATCATGTGCTTGGTACAGTCGTATAGAAGTTATTTTATGAAGGAAATCTTTGAAAAATGTGACTACGAGCATATGTTGTTCATCAAGACTAACAAGGAAGGTAAAGTTTTGATCGTAAGTTTGTATGTTGATGATTTAATCTTTACTGGAAATGATGAATCAATGTTTGCAGAGTTTAAACATTCCATGAAGCATGAGTTTGATATGATTGATCTTGATAAGATGAGGTAATTCCTTGGTCTTGAAGTTTTGCAAAACCCTGATGATATTTTTATTAGTTAGAAGAAGTATATTTTGGAGGTGCTACACTGGTTTGGAACGTACAAGAGTAACTTTGTTTTTAATCCCATTGTTCTTGGTTGTAAGCCTGTGAAAGATGAAGGGGGAGTTAAAGTAGATAAGACTTACTATAAGCAGATTATAGGGAGTTTCATGTACCTTATAGCTACTAGACCAGATCTAATGTTTGTGTATCATTAGTGGGTAAATGGAGAATCCTACTCAGCTACACTTGCAAGCGGCAAAAAGAGTGATGTGATATCTAAAAGGAACAATTGATTTTGGGGATTTTCTATAGGAAGGGAAAAAATGATGAACTTGTTGCTTACGTTGACAGTGATTATGCTGGAGATTTGGAAGACCGAAAGAGCATTCTAAGTTATGTTTTTTTTATTAAGTTCATGGGCTTTGGTCATCAAAAAAGCAACCATTAGTAAGCTTATGGCTAAGTTTATCGTTGCAACGTCATGTGCATGTCAAGCGGTATGGTTAAAAGAGGTGTTGGGAAAGCTGGATCAAAACCAAGACAAGTCGTGTTATTCATTGTGACAGTAGCTTTGCAATCAAGCTATCAAAGAATCTAGTAATGTATGGTCAGAGTAAGCACATAGATGTGCATTTTCATTTTCTTTGAGACCTTACAAAGAATGGCACTGTGAAGTTAGTACACTGTGACACAAAAGAGCAGTTGGTTGATATAATGACAAAGCCACTCAAGCTGTATACATTTGTCAAGCTGCGAGGATAATTGGGAGTTTGTTCTAAAATTGATGTAAACTGAAGCTTGTAGCATTCATT